AATAATTAATAATTAATTAATAGGTAATATTTAATTAATTAATTATTAAAGATGATTAAATAATATAATATACTTGTGCAATACATAAATAATATATATTTAATTAAATAAAAATATAGTTATTATACATATACAATATCTTGTGTTTTATTAGAAATGTTTTAATTTATCACGATGCGCGGCGAGCAATGCTAGTCATTGCGAATGAGAGACGACTTACACGGGTTCTATATGAGCGCGAGCGTGTACTTGCTCAGGTTTTTCCTATTTTTGAATGTGTTCTACCACATGAAATGAAACAAAATTTTGCACACTAAAAGGAAATTCAATAGCCTTTCTAATGATGCTAATTAAAAATTAGTCCAAACAACCGCACTACCGGAAAATTCAAAACAAAAAATTATTTTCACTTTTTCATGCACTAAAAAATAATTATTAAACAATATTTGTTATCAATAATATAGTACACACTGATGTGAATAGAGTCCCGTTATTTGTTTGTTAATATCTTTCATAGTTGCGACAAAGAACGACTTTGAAAAAAGGGGCCACTTTCACACATTTTCAATGATATCTCGGCCAAATGATGAGCTACGGATTTGAAATTTGGTATATCGGATTTTCTCAAAAATACCTATAAAATGGCATCAAAATTATTTAAATACCAGGGTGGGGCCAATTCTGTATGGAAACACGCCCATACCCTTTTACAAAAAGTTTTATATACATTGCAGTAAAATATTATCAATAGAACAAACGATGCTATCTCAATAAAAATCTGTTATGAAAATTATAATGAGAAATAGTATCAGGAGAAGCATGTGCAAAAGTATATTATATCAGCATTTGTTGCAGACATTTCAAAAATGTCTGAAGGGACGAAAATTTTAATCAGCAGGACAAATTTTGCTTAAAAATATCATAGATTTACCTAAATCACAGAAAATCACTAAAATTATAAGCATAAATTGTTTGTGTATATAATTAAAATATTTTTATGATAACCGAAATCTATATCTTTTGATGTAGATATAATATCTAAATCTATAAGAGCAGGCACATATTGAATTATAAATGTTCTAGAACTTCATTGATCGTTTCTTTTTTCTCAATATAAATATTATATATGTACAAAAAAAAATATTTTAAATTAAAGTTCCGGGATAAACCAAGCTAAAAAATAATCATCTGTAAGAAGACAAATATCCGAAGAAAAAGAAACTTTATTCAACAGGATAAGTTTTGTTTAAAAATATTAAATATTCACCTGAATCACAAAACTCATTACAATTATAAGCATAGAATATTATTCCATAAAATATTTCGACGATCATTGGAATCTGTACCTTTTGAATATCTCTAAATCTATAATATTATACATATATAAAATTAAACATGTTCTGTATCGTTTTTTCGTAATATTTATAAATATTATATATTTAGAAAATTAATTATCAAGTTAAAGTTCAGGCACAAACCTAGCGTAAAAAGCAACTAACAGTTTTTTACTGTGTAAAGAAGCTTTGAGAATTTTGCGTCAAATGTAGGGATTACAGAATAATAACATCTAAGCACTTGGTTAATTTATGAGGGAAATAGTTTGGTATGGGAAACACGCCATGCCAAAATATATCCTGATGAACTCACAGCAAAAATTGAAACACACTATCAATGAAAATATGTTTTTGTAATTTTTTTGAAAAAACCTTTCTTTTTTAATTACATGAATATTATATACTGATTTTTTTGTTGTTGTACTGACGCATAATTTCTAATAATGTAAAAATATAATACCGAATTTCTAATAATGCAAAAATATAATACCGAAGGTAGACAACTTATGAGCCAATCCACCTTTATGTAATATCCATTTTATATAATGAAACCGAACTGATTACAAGAATTGTGGCAATCAAGTCAGCTTTATGATGAGAAAAAAACAATAGGTCATGACATTTTAAATTTTTGTAAACAATAACATTTCAAAATATTGTTATTCATTTGGAAATGGTTTATCATAAATTAATACATTTCCACATTGATGACCATGAAACGAAAATTGCAAACAAGCGCAGACCAATAATCACAATACAACAATTTAATTATTGACGCCAACCAAATTTTAAATTGTAAAATTTCTAAATATTTTTATTCAGTTCGAAAGAGTTTAATTAATTTCCACACTATAAGAAGTTTGTTTATACCATTAAAATATTTTTTATGCCTACAAAATCTATCAGGCTCGAAAACATTCCGAATTAAAATTCCCATTGAATACCAGCTAATGATTCCGGCAATAAGACCTTAATATTTTTTTATACCGACGCTCCCGCTATAATCTTATGCTGCGGTGCGTTATTCTATATACGTAGGCCCCATTCTACATCGTCTTTACACATTCATGGTGCGAGCCTTCCCGGCGTAATTGTAATTCAGGGCTCGTCTCCCGTTCGTCGGGCACCGAAATAAAGAAGTGAAATCTTTGTGACTTTGATCCCGGGCCCCGGGGTACGACAACAAGGCATGACCACAGTTGGCGTTTGTCCGGCCATATGCCAACAAGTATTGTTGGCGAATTAAATCACCCTGATGTCAGAGAGAAGCGAGACATGAAGCTTTTTATATTGGAAAATTTATTACGCATAAGAAAATTTGGACATGCTGGACACTAGACAGCGTCTCGATTGCGGTACGTGCTGCTCTATATGATTACATAAATGCAGGGCCGCATTCAGTACGCACTATGTACTAAATGACATATTCAATATTTTTACATTTCAAATTATAAACTAAACTAACTGTAAGTGGAAATCTGTCTTAAGAGAATTAAGGCATCGTGCCTTAAGGCAAATTGCTGAAACTTCCCGTACCTCAATTTAAAATTGAAGTAATTAAAAATAATCAATAATAATGAATAAAAGTTGATCAATGATTTGAAACTTGTAATAAAATTTCGAACCATATTTAATCATTCTATCTTAAGTCATTTATTTTTAAATATTTTGGAAATTCTGAACTTTTTTTCAAAGCAATCGTACTGCTTTAACTTTAACCATAGGAATGTAAACAAAGTTTATACTTTAGTGGGGCGGAGCTTTTGTAAACGCTATTGGAAGAAGTCATCATAAACTTTGTCTTCTCACATTCTTTTTGAACTTTCTCATTAAAAAAACTTGTGTTTTTCATTGTAATATGTCTTTATATAATATATTTATAATTTTAATTATATTAGATTTATTTGTTTGTCTTCCAAACAAGATCGTGTTTTTGAAAATGTCCTGGAACGTAGATAGATATAGTTCCATAACGTCGATAAACTATAATTAAAAAAATATTTGTATTATGGATCTATACATTGGATATATACATCAACTATTCTAACTAGCAGAGCTTAACTTAGTAATGACATTAGTAATATTCAAATGTTTGAAGTATTACATTTATTCCAAACGTTCAAAGTTAGTGATTAGTAATTCATAAATTAGAAATATTGTGAATGTGAATGCACGTTTAAGCACTCACTAAAAACTTATTTCATAGATATTGAACATTCAAAACCCCTAAATATAATAAAAAGCAATACTATTATCTAGGAACTTTCAATGCACAATAATAACAAATAAAACCATTCACAGCGACCTCAACATAAAATCGATGCAATTAACGTTCAAAGAGGTAATGGAAAAATAAAAACGTAAACAGAAATCACATTCAAACCAATCAATAGGCGACATTGCCCAACCATTTGGCGTAAGAAGATTGTAACGTCAATGGCCTTCAGATTCATTCTTAGATTAGCTTCAATATAACATTATCTTATCAATTGTTAAACTAAGATCTCACGGGAGTTCTTCTTAGACATCGCTCTCAAATATTGTCAATTTAGCTTATAGGAATCCTTATGTATTTCTGATTGCTGAATAAAACAGACTTAAAAAAAATTAAAAAAAAGTGCGAATTGATTTCAAATTGAAATAATACCCATTTGTTTATAATATAATTTTAATTATTTTAAAATAAATCCTATTAAAAATAAAAAAAAATGCGTTAAAAATAAAATTAAAAATTATTTTTATGATCACACGTAATCACACGTAAAGTCACACTTTATGAAAAAGAACTGAAAAAATGTAGTAGTAAATAAATAAAATTAGTAATTGATTATTTTTCGGATTGTTCATCTGATGTATGATTCTAAAAGTTATATAAAAAAACATACAATGCAGTTCACGCAATTAGAATAATTTTATAAATTATTGTTTATTATTGTTAACCCTTTCCATTCGCTAAATGCAGAATTAATTCGTATTTTGCCGCCGGAGCGGCTGCATCCGAGTGGTAAGGATTAAAACATTTATTTAAATTTAATAGAAACCTTTCATTCAATAAATCATTCCATTATTATGGATAAATGAATTTTTATTCCTTTCTCAAATAGAAGTCATTAATATTTCAATACTTTTTACTCATAAATAAATAAAAGATTCTAATAACAAGAAATAATAAGCCAGCCGTGTATTGACAAGTACTGATCCAGAAAGCAAAGTGAAATGTCAGAAACAGAAATTTCTTTAAAATCATCTAGGTTAATGAAAATATGAATAAAGGAATATAAATTGTATAAAAATAGGTACTTGTTCTTCGTTATTTATTCAATACTCCTGAAATGTTGGCATAGTTTAAATAGTTTTTGCATATTTAATCGAAGCAAATCGAATAATTTCTGTGTGAGTTTCATAAAAGTATATAAAAATTAAGAGAGAATTATATTGCAGTAAACGAATAACATATCAAAATATAGTCGATCAACTACTTTTTAATACCAATAAAAAATGGGTAGTGCATTTCATAAATTGTTTTAGGAGCTGGTGATGATAGATTACAATCTTCTGGTTATTAATAATACCAATACCAATGGGATTTTACAAATTGCATATAACGAAATATTTTTTTTATAAAAAATGACGCAAATGATTTCCAAATAACAAATTATTACTCACCGTTTATCGGCACTATTATCAAAATCTGAAAAGATAAATAACATTAAATTAAATCCAACTTTGGCAAATTTATCATCATAGTCCCTATCTTTTCGAAGCAATATAGTTTCAAATTACAAAAGTTACCATTAAAGAAAATTAGATTGGCAATTTCCATTATGGTTAAATAATAAAGTCACAATCTACAGTTTTCTAGAAAAATAATTACTTCTCTTGCGGAAAAACTAATATTAATTTTGTTGAATATCTCTTCCATCGTCTGCAGGTAAAAGATATTGTTTGATGATCAAAAAATTAATTTTCTAGAGTATCATTTAACAAAGATAAGCTATTTATAGATTTTCCATTATTTTTATAACCTATTTTATTATTGTTATATTATATTATACATAAATAAATACATTTTCATAATTTATTATGATATTCTATTCTGACATTTGTTTTGTATGGCAAAAATTTCTTATTATTTTAAAAGAATCAAGTTGCTTGCAATATATAAATATTTTTTAAATGCACTATAGTACAACTTGAAACTAATTATAAAAAGCGAATCAAACTTGTGTCTTTAAATGCTTGTAGTTTGTGAAAGTCAAAGTTTGATTCGCTTTTTATAATTAGTTTCAAGTTGTACTATAGTGCATTTTGCAATATATAAATATTTTTTAAATGCACTATAGTACAACTTGAAACTAATTATAAAAAGCGAATCAAACTTTGACTTTCACAAACTACAAGCATTTAAAGACTTTAAAAACTCAAATGATGGTTACACGAGAGAAAATTATAAAATAAAACTATATTTAACTAAAAAATTAACTAGAAAATTTTACTTTACAGGCCGATAATAAAGTGTTGAGTCTGTTTTTTATTAAAAAAAAATAGAATAGAGAACTCTTATAGTACTGGACACCTTCATATATTTATCATAACTTCATTTAGTATTAATAGATTAAAGTAAACTCAGAATTAACGTATTCTCGAAGCAAAGTTATTTTACATGATAAAATTTTTCCAGCGTTTAAGATAATTTCAGTGATTGTATAATTTAAACTAGTGGTGTGTATGGCATCTTGCCTTAAGGAAAATTGCTGGAACTTCCCGTACCGTAACGAAATGTTCGAGGAATATTAAATGTTTTCAAATAGATTTTTATAAATAAATACTGTTACATTATCTAATATTTATAAGAATAAATTATATAAACTGAATTGCAAAGTTGAAAATATTTGTTGAAAGTATATTAGAACTCAAGTTACAATTAAAATCAGAATTATTTTCTATATACAAAATTGTTTTTTTTTTTTTTAAAAATTTAAACATTTTTTCTTCGTTTTTGAGAAAACGGCGATTTACGGCAAAAAATCTGTGCGTCTACTTTTTCCAAATTTTGTCTCATTCTATTCACAATGGTTCTAGACTGACTACAGCCAAAAGTAAGATACTTCATGCAGCCATGGGGCAAAATAACCTCTCCTTTATTTTAACTTGCAGTCCAACATATTGGCATTCTGACCCTACTAAAGTTCCAGACCTTTTAGATTTTTTTTATTGTAAAAGGTATCGATCATTCAAATCTTAATATTGAATCTAGTTACGATCTCTCTTCAGATCATTCTCCAATACTTGTGACGTTTAGCACATTTCCTACTCCAGCTATCAACAATCATATTCTACACAACAAACTTTCTAACTGGACTCAATTTAAATCCATACTTGATTCAAAATTATTTCCAAAATCTAGGCCTACAAGCGTAATTGATATAGAGATTAAAATAGAATATTTTTCTGAGATTGACTCTGAGACGTGAAATAACCAAGCAGATAACCCCGAATATTATTCCAAGAAATGATAATCTAATAATTCCGCAAGGGATTAAGAAGCTAATTGCACAGAAACGAAGAGCAAGACGTACCTGGCAACATTCTCATCTACCAACGGATAAGACATCCCTTAATCATCTCAATAACACGCTGAGGAAAAAAATGAAAGAATGGAAGAATTGTACATTCAGGTCGTATTTATTGCAGCTAAATAAGTACGATAATTCCATATGGAAACCTGTCAAGAACGAAAGTAAACCCCTACTACAAAACCCTCCTCTGAAAACAACTAACCAAAACGGTTTCATTTGGGCAAAAAGCAACGAAGAAAAAGCGGAGGCATTTGCTGATCATCTAAGTAGCATTTTTAGCGCTCGAAATATTTCCTAGAATAATTTAATTAACAATTTCGTAAAACAACCCATTCATTCTACACCGTTAGGACATTTTTCACCAAATGATGTCTTATGTGAAATTAAAAGGATGAAAAATAGATCTTCGCCGGGTATGGACAAGATTACTCCAAAAATGTTAAAAGAGTTGCCTACAAAAGGTATTTTATATATAACAAATATTTTCAACGCCATTCTTCAATATAATTATTGGCCCACAGCGTGGAAGACTGCAGAAATTATTATGATCGCTAAACCAAACAAAAACCATCACACTGCTAGTTCATACCGTCCTATCAGTCTTTTATCGATATTATCGAAAATTTTAGAGAGACTTTTGTTGCAGAGATTGTCAGAAGATCATCCGAATGATAGTTGGATTTCTCACCACCAGTTTGGCTTCAGAAAAAATCACTCTACAATTCAACAATGCAACAGAACGGTGTCTCATATTCTTGAAGCCATGAATAGAAAGGAACACTGCGTAGCCGTATTCTTAGATGTCAGCCAGGCTTTTGATAAGGTTTGGCACTCAAATCTCCTATATAAAATCAAAACAACTTTTCCAAACTACTTCAATATCTTAAGCTCATATTTGCTTAATAGAAAATTTAGGATCAAAATTAAAGATGTGACTTCGAGCATCAGAAATATAGAACGCGGGGTACCACAGGGCAGTGTGCTAAGCCCTGTACTTCATCTTCTTTTTACAAACGATATGCCCACAGATTATCTTCTAACCATATGCACTTACGCCGAAGACATAGCAATTATTTCATGCGATTCCGATATTAGAACAGCAACTTGTCAGTTACAAAATTATTTATCTAGTCTCGAACAATGGTTTTTAGAATGGAATATTAAAATCAATATCGAAAAATTTCAGCACATAATTGTTTCTCTAATACATCACAACAGTCCACCTATCATCATGAACAATTCAATAATTCCACTATGCAATTCTGTTAAATATTTAGGCATGCACATTGATTCGAAATTGACATGGAGAACGCACATTGAATATAAAAAGAAACAAATCCAACTGAAAATAAAAGATTTTTTCTGGCTTTTTGGGAGGAAATCTGAAATCTCTCTAGATAACAAGGTACTTCTGTACAAAACTATCATAGTGCCCATTTGGACTTATGGAATCGAACTATGGGGTTGCTCATGCAAATCTAACATAAACAAAAAAAAAATCGATTCAGAATGGCTTGAAACGTCGAGAAAACATAAACTTCTCCTTCGGGAAGTTAATAAGAGAAGATGAAGAAGACCATGTCTTGTTAACTCATTGAGCATAATTGAATATTATAAAAATGGCAAAGTTATACTTATTCTATATGGCCGACATGTCAAATACGACGTATAAAATTTTTTAAAGTTTCAAAGAGTTAATTTCATCATCTACGTTGGGCACATTGAATTTACTATTTGACAGTTGTGCATAAAGGGATTTCGGCACCAAATATACTTCGAAATTTTTTATATGATATTTTGAAAATAATACAATTACTTCCTGCTCTGAAGACAAAGCATAGTAGTGTACTAAATATAAATTGTATGCCTTGTGTAAAAACTTTAAGAACCAATTGTTATTTTAAAAAAAATCACTTTATTATTGTTATTATTATATTATTAGAATTATTAAAGGATTCCGGGCGATGTGGAAGAACCAAAATTTAAGCAAATACGCAGTTGGACAGAAAAATATATATATATATATATATATATATATATATGTTACCTTTTTTAATAAATATATTCCATTCATTTTGGATTAACAATACAGCAAGATAATCGTCCAAGCTCCCGTTTCTCCAACCCAAGATGCGCATTACGAAAACAGCTTTTGAATATATTTCGAAACAAATAAAACTTTGTTGATATAAAAAATATATAAATTACTTGAAGGTGTCGCCGTTATGGCAACGACGCTGATAAGATAGAAGCATTAGCTGAGGGATTTATGGCCCATCTTCACCTATCATATTGAAAATATATTTTATATAAACGAGAATGTATAGAAGGTGACACAGTTTCCACCCAAAGCACTCAGCATTTAAGCCATGAAAATTCAATAGTAAACCTTGCAAAATTACATTTGTGTATATACATATATACTGGTGAAATTTATGCATACATAATATTAATTGGCGTATTTTAATTTACATTTTGATCATGGAAAGTATTAAGTTTTATAATTGGCAATGTATAAGGTATTGAGCATATAAGATTTTCTTACAATAGTGTCTAACAAGATTTTACAGAAATTGCGTGATAATGGAGTTATGAGTATGAACAGAAATAGTTTTCATCCTACCTGTTTACAGAAAATTTGTTAAGTCTTATACATTGCATTATTATTAGTTCATTATATTTAAGAATAAAATTCTTATTAAGACTAGTGTGGTGCATGGCATCGTGCCTTAAGGCAAATTGCTTGAACTTTTCGTACCGTAATTGAAAATCTTGGTACTGAACCCAAAAATATTTACACAAAATGTGTACACATCATTAAAATCTCAATAAAATATCTGATTATATGATGTACATATGTCCAATAAACATTTTTGACCCCCAAATGACATTTTTAACTTCTTGTAGGGCAAGTTATAGTAATCGCAAAAAATCGAAAATAAAAATTTCAAGTAAAATGTTTTTTGAATTATTTAAATTGGACGCTCAGTTCTCTTAAAAACTGAGTTACCGTTTTTGGTACTTTCTGCCCCGTACCTTCAGAACGGTTAGACGAATTATCAATACGAATCTAATGTTTTTTGAATCATTCAAATGGGTTGATCGGTGTTCC